TGGTAGGCGGTTTTCTCGGGGATCTCTTGTTTCTCATGCCCCTTCATTCCGGCGCTGCTCCATACTTAACTCAATCGCCCTCATCGCCTCTGAAGAGCTCGCTGTTAAGAGCCACCGAAATCTCTTCACTCACCCTAAGACACTTGTCTTCCTGGCACGGCCGTCGCCAGTAGTGCGGATGCCGAACCAGAAGTGTCCGAGTATGAGATGACGAACATGTATAGACATGAGTTGCTGTGTCTTCTGCAAGACTGCTTCATGTCGTAGTTTGAGGTCTGTATAACATTTGAAAATGTTCTTTGGACTCAATTCGTACAATATGAACACACTTAACTGTCTTAAATATACAAATGAATATTTATTCTTTCATTTAGTATTGTTTATTTATTATGTTACCTGCAGTACTATTTATATTTAAAACAGTTTTACATTTTGCTTGAACAATCATTATATAAATATTTTGATTGAAAACAATTATTTTAAAATTTAGGTTGATAGCATTTTCTCTAACGGCTAAAGGTAGCATGCCTGTATATTTTTTATAAAGATTCAGTTTTAATCTGCAGAGTAACGTATGGACTTAAATCGTAACTGCAAAGTGTTTTCTGTGCCTAATATGGCCTTCATTATCTGCATCTACGAATAAGGTTTACGAAGAAAGTGGAATAGCAGATTGTGGAGCTGCTCGTTCGTCGGCAAAGTGGAGAAGTTCGGATATGTTGAGGCTTGGTTCAGGTAGGCTTCAGAAATCATTGAGGCATGTGTTGTGTATATTCTATTTATATTTGAGTACAAGAAAAATTTCTTGAATAATATCTGAATAATAAATGGACTAAGAAATATGTGAGAAAATGTTACAAAATTTAATTGACTGAAGAATGTGTAAGCAATTTTCGAGTAATAAGTGAGTAATGTTTAGGGAATGCCTAACGAATGTTTGCGGAATGTCTGAATAATTTTTGGTCACTGGATGACGAACTTTCGAGAAAGGAGGTAGTATTGTTTGCAGAATGTATAAGGAATGAGTAGGAATTTTATGAAGTATGCTTGAGTGATGCTTGTGGAATAGTCAAAGAATTTTGGTGGGATGATTTTAGAACATTTTAGGAATTGTGTCACATCTTAATGACAACACCAAAGCTATACTCCATTCTGAATTCGGTGTCATCATAGTAGTGTTCAATACACAGATAATGCAGGATTATTAAAAACCAGTCACGATATTTCTCCACTAAATCTGCCATTAATATTTGTTGAAATTATTTTTATTTTGTTTTATCTCACCAACCATTAGTTTTAGCGTTAAAAGCGTAAAAAAAAACTTCTAATATGGCTCAAATTATTCTTTAAAACTTGACTTCGCAAGTTAAAATCCACCCATAAATAATGGACTTCTGAACATTTTTAACTTTTTGGGGCAGCAATTTCGATCATGTCATAGACATGAGACGCGACGGTGTGTGAATTATGACCATTGGCATTATTCATCCCAAGGTATATTATGACTAAACAAAATCATTACCAACATTTCTTTACGAAAACTGTCACCAGAGCACGTTTCTGCTACGTATGCTCCCCAACTAGCCTATGTGAGGTTTTTACGAAATCTGTTGGTGCTATGCCAATCAGAAAATATCTTAAACCTTTTGTACTAAACATAAGAAATTAGTGAAAGTGAGACTATAAAATAATTACTCATACAAATTTGCTAGAAATCGACGTACTAAAAATTTCACTCAAAAAATATAAAAATAGGAAATTTACTGGAAAAAATTATTGAACGTAGAAAAATCTAAATTAGAAGTGATGATAACTGAACCATTTGTGCACATGTATGTAACATTGCTATACTTTGTTGTAAGTCATAGACAACCCACAACATGACGTCGTCGCAGTGTCTGCCTCCAGGCACTTGTCTTCCTAGCAAGGCAGTCGTTAAGTGTTGCTGATGCCGAGCCACAAGTCTCCGATATTAGGTTCAAAGAAGAAACCAAGTACAAAGTGAAATAACGGTGCAATGGACGGTAAACGAGAGACTAATGTGACTACTTGTGTCGACGATGGCAGCGGTAACTCCAGGACTCGTGAGAGCTGTTATGAAATAACATTTTTAATGTTACTCCATACATAGTAGGATTTGGAAGGGATTTTCTGTGATGACAAGATGTTAGAGCATATTGTACTGAGGGGTTTAATTAAGTATTAAACACAGACTATAACAGACCCTATAATATAAAATGTTCGTAAGTGACACTAAAACTGATATTAGATTATATTACTTTAATTACATTATTCAGCTAACTCACGCCACTGTTGATTTACTAAAATGGACAGTCCCACCTTAACATGATGCCGGAGGCTGTACTTAGTAGAGTGGCCAGCGAAGACCGGACATCCCATGCATGATCTTCCCTGGAGACTGGTCAGACGTGGAAAGACGACACGCCCCGTCTAGTGTCGGCCTATATCGGCACGTTGTTTAGTGTTTAGACATAGCTGGCCTCTTTCCCTGCTTGGTGGAGGTTGGTTTTCGTAATGCTTGACGTAATCCATGGAGTCTGATTTACTGTCTTAAAGGTGCGATGTCGCGTTCAATCGTGGATGTCTATATAAGGCCTGTCTTCATAAAACTATAACAGAACTCGCGCAGGTATGCTGCTTTTAGGATAAACACGAATCTCTGTCTTCTATAAGAGTGCCTAACGTCACAGTTCGAGGCCAACATTGCTTTATACAAAATTTTTTTTTACTCAGTTCACCGAAAAGAACATATTTAACTGTTACACTAGTAATAATTGTTTTTAAAGTATTTTTTCTTAATTTTTTATTTGAGTTAAGTTTAATGTAAACATTTTTAAAATAATTTTTTTCATTGCTAGGGACTGGTAGTAGAATATTCTGTAACTCCTAAACAGAGCGTGCCTGCATATCTGTAATTGAGATTCAGATTGAAAACTGCAGTGTGTCATATGAATTTTCATCGTAACTGCATGTGTTTAAGTGGTTCCTTATGGACTATGGTGCTCTCTCTACATGACGACATTATCTGGAAGACCCGATCCCAGAGATTCGCGCGACCAATAAGATAATGGGTTCGGCCACATAAAAAGGGACTGCGACGAAATTTTATCGCTTTGTACTTATCTACTATTGGCCAACACTCAATGGCTCTCCTAGTTAATCGGCGAAAGTGGAGAAGTGCGAATATGTGGGAAGTTTGTTGGTGTAGTTTTCACGGATGTTGAGGCACATGTTACGTATATTTGAGGTATGCTTGGGTAGAATGAGAACTTCTGGAAGAATATTTTAAAATTGAATGAACTGAGGAATACCTGAGAAACGTTAACAAAACTGAATGCATTGAATAATGTTTAAATAATGTTTGAGGATGAGTGAGTAGTGTTTGAGAGATGCTTAAGATATTCTTGTGGAAAGTCTTAAGAGTATTTGATGACTGAGTAATAAACTTACGATGAAGGAAGAAATAATGTTTAAGGATACTCGAGGAAGTGGTGAGTATTTTAAGAACGCTCAAGGAATGTTTGTGGAATATTCCCAAATTTTTTGTGGAATTATTGGGGAACGTTTCAGGAATGAGTGAGTAGTGTTTGGGATTGCTTAAGGAACGTGTGAGGAAAGTTTGAAGGATGTCTAAAGTCTCGTGGTGTGTAGATCAAGAGTTCTGGAAACAGATAACAGCCCTAAATGTTTCGATATATCTGTGTTTTAACTTTTTATTTTTTTTTTTTTAAAGTAAGATTAAATTTTAGCAACTGTTCGTGATATGAGGTTTGTCAACTTCTCGTTAAGTTCCTACAATTCTTATGCTATTGACTTGCAGTACTTTATTTACACAAATCCGATAGATAATGCCAAAGCTCATTAAATGCATGACCTTCTGTTGGAAAACTGCGAAGAACTAACTTTAGTATTAAATATTTTGGTGCAAGAACACAGTGTAATGATTTTCCAAGTAACACTTTTTATTCGTATCACTTATTGTAGTCTCCTACGTTACAGGCAGTTGTGACGATGTAACCAAACTATAGAAGATGTGTACCTTAAATGATTAGACACGAAATGTATATAGAATAACAGATTAATGTGTAATTTAAGACGTTTGCATGATCGTAATGTAAATAATAAGCTCATTAGAGATACATTTTAATGAAACTAATCATTTCAGTTCTATTCAGCACTCAATCTTAAGTTTTCTTTCTATATTTGTCCCAAACGGTGCACTACTATTTTTTTCATTTAGTCATGGTTACAAATCAAGTATTTGTTATTTGCACTTCCAAATCTCATATCGGATAGTAATTTAGCTTAGAGCTCATTGAGTACGTCAATTTGATAAACTTTTTTCTTCTCTGCTCAATAGCAAGTTTGTTAGTTGAAATTTTTTCTATCATTAAATGGGGAGATAAAGTTATATTTGTTGTAAAAATGGAAAACGTTTGTTATCACAGACAAGCGACATCAAACCGTCTCAAGAACCGGAAAAATACCTCACTGAAGAGTGCATGCAAGACGAGATACGGGAATACTAGTGCCCGTCTTGTCAAACTGGTTGATACGAAGTGACTTTGTTACTACCATAATCATTACTGCATTAATGACAAGTTGGTTCCTAATTAAGTCACCGAAGCAGATGACCTGTATATTCCGTTCTCAGCCTGCGACATCGACATGCTCTTTTCCGTTGACGTATCCTCTCCAAGGTCTAAGTACGATTAATACCTTACACCTACAATACATTTAAATTTTGAGAAATTTCACAATATCTTAAACTTGATTGTTAATGTAGTTATATTGTGTTAATTAAGAAATAATATCTATTGAAATTAGCCATTCATATTATTACATTATTTTTCACATTGAATGAAAGATACTGGTATCTAACATTTAATGAATTACTTCGAAGACACCCGCGTCATTATTTTTTTACAGACAAGAGTGGTTCCTCAACATACACTGTGATTTTAAATTCAATAAGTTACTGGAGACGCCGGGATCGAACCTGGTACCTTCCACATGCAAAGCGAATGTTCTACCACTGAGCTGCAACCCCACCACACCAGTTAGCAGCACAATCCTAGTATTAAAGAGTGCCAATCGATTGCATATTCTTATGTGTATATTTTGATACATTGTTTAACTTTACTGCATCAATATTTCCAGAGAATCTTACCAGAGCTTTTGTAAACCATCTCATTACGGGTTTTAAAAAAAACTGTAAATTTATAAGCTAACTGTTTCATATTTAAGCGATAATTTTTTTTATGTAAACACTTTTAAACTTACATTATATCGTAGTAAATAATAACATAAGAAAATACATGTTGCAGATTATTCATGAAGAAATACTTTGTAGTTTATATGGAATAAAGCGATTTCTCATGCCAGTGGATATATTTTTAAGATGGAGTCGAAGCATTACTGTATATTATTGTAGTCAATTCACCGTTTATTCGGATGTTTTGATCAAACCATTGAAAAATCACCCTGGCAGTAACATGTCAACCTGATTTTTAAATAACTTATATACCACAAATGTATAATACTGTGTTTAATTTCAGAGTATTATACCGGTTGTTCACGAACAAACGATAATAAACACCATAGTGGGGTAGAAAAGTACAAATGGAGCATATTTCATGCAGGGGCCAATAGTTAAACGTTCTTAGTTAACTTGGTAATGGCAGTGGAAATGCGCAGGGACGCGTATGTAACTTTGTGTACGTGGCATTATAACCAGCCTGTGCGCAGGTCTGGGTGTCTGATAACACCGTTCAGCACCGCACGGTCGCAGTCTTGGAGGTTCTACATATGTACAGTTCCTGCAGGATGTGTTACCGGAATACTCGGAAGAAGTTACTTTAGATGCTCGTGAGGCGATGTGGTTTCAACAGGACGGGGGCCCCGCAACATGCTTCAGCGATGCACCGCCTGGGGGACCACACATACGTTAAGCCGCGTCTACACTGGAGCGACTTGGGCAAGCGACACTGTCGAGCGACCACATCGCGTGAGCTGCGGCAACACCAGGGCGTCTGGTCACGACACTGTCGCACGACCACGTCGCGTGACCTCTGTCAGATGACCATCACCTGTCATCACCAAGCACATCAGACAATGTCTCACTATATGTCGACTGCCTTGGCTACACCTTGCCAGAATTTAAGATAGCAAGATGTGGGACGATGAGGATGTCCTCGTATCCACAGCGGCATATATTGTTTTCGCTTGTAAACAGAGACGTACCCGGCGGCATTGGGCGAGCCCTTCTTTAAAGAGTAGAAATACATACAGTGGCACTGATCTAATGGCAGACCTAGTATTCGATAACTTTGATGAATTAATTGTAAAATATCGGAGCAATGGTGGCTTAAACATTTCTTTCGGATGCCAAGTAGTGATTTTGAACAACTATTGAGCATAATAGGTCCGAAAATTAAGAAGGGCAATACCTCGTATAGACAAGCAATACCAATAAAGGAACTCCTAGGAGTTACGTTGAGATTTATGGCAAGTGGAGATTCGTACAGGTCGTTGGAAACTGCATTTAAGATATCCCACTCAACTATTTCAAAGTGCATACCAGAGGTGTGTGGAATCCTTGTAGAAGCACTGAAGGGCTACGTACAGGTAGGCTATGTTGTATGTGTTAAGTTAATAAGTAATAGAATCACTGTACTTGTTTACATAGTAACTAATCTGGTCATTTTACTGTACTACATTCATATGCAGCCACATCCACTTTTACTGCAAACTGTTTATAAGTAGTACATCATTTTTCGTTACGTTACAAAGAGTGGAAATAATCTTGTCATGTCCATGGTTATTATTACCAATTCATTTGTCAGTAATGCCGAAAGCCCTATCCTTGCTGAAAACATAAATAAAAATGTACCAAGGCTATGACAAATATAAAGCTGTAATTCATATTTTACAGAGTACATACCCAAATTAAATGAAAACATGTTTATTATGTACAAATATATTTGTGGACATGTGAATGAATTCAGGTGCAAACATTAATTGTTACGCATATGTTTTATATAAGACATTGCACATTGACCTCTCATGAAATGTCTTCAAGAACACAAGTAATGCCAGACAGGCATGTCGTTGAATTCGTGTCGCTTGATGATGGCACAGTGTAAGGAGTCATCATGATCCCTGGCTGAAAGGCAATTGCGAATGTGGTGAGGCTCCACATTAGTTGTCATATTTTCCACGTGTAGATTCCCATAACACTGTGTTGATAACTTGTTGGAAGTTATTTCTCGTTTGCTCATTGGTAAGTTTACGTAACTTGTGAGCGATTTATTCCGCAAACAGGCCATACTCATCTTTTTCATTTTGCCCGTCCCATACAGCTTTCTTATTTGAAATGCTTCCTCTGCCCTGGGATCTGTCATTTTCCGTTTCTTCTGAAACGTGGGAGGTTGCCTTGATGTGACACCGCATTGAGTGTCCGTGTCCTGCTGTGATGAAGCTCTGCCAGACGTGCCCGGTGTAGACACATCCGCACCTGTCGGGGTGTATCAAGGTGTGTTGCATCAGACTGGGTCCCAGGCTCACCAAGTTCCTCTATCACAGTCTCATATTGTCGTTCGGGAGTATTTTCACTGCTATTCTAGTCTTCAGCGACCTGTGGAGCTAGCAATACATTGACACACGTGTATGTGGCACATGCAAATGCAACCACTTTAGAAACTAACTACAATATAATCCTAAAGTAACTACAATCAAATACAGAAGAAAACAATACCAGACACTGAGGAATTCTATTTGGCGAAAACTCATAGCAGCGTGCCATGCGGTTCTGAGTACAGGCCAGTACATATAACCAATACCAATACAGCTAGTTTCATTTGACTATTTATGCTACTTCTAGTTGGAGGCAATAAATTAGGGTGTGTTCCATGATAGGTACTCTCAGCTGTATAGGTATCACTAGTGTACGTACATGTCATCACCAGTGCGAAAGGATTAGCTGCGCCTGATATTATCCTCTACTGTAATCTATACAATATAAAATGATACTAACTTACAGATAAACAGAAATGCAAACGAATGGGAATAGATTGAAAGGGAGTTCAACACCCGCTGGAACTCTTTCCGCATTGTTGTGGATCGATTGGTGGCAGAATGTATCTCTTCAAATACCTTCGTTGACTGGCACAGAATTTTTTAACTACAAAGGATATTTTAGTATAGTCTTCATTGCTGTAGTTGATGCAGATATTGGTTGTTAGGGGAGAATAACTGTTGGATGTGTTTTCGCCAGCAACACGTTTCTGTAAACAGCTAACAGGCAGTTGCCTGAACCTGCCACACTCCTCCCCTTTAACAGGGAGGACACTGCCAATTCCACCAGTGTTTGTTGCAGATGGCACTTTCCCCCTGTCGAATAACATAAGGAAGCATTTTCCAGGATAACGTGATAATGGAACGGAAGGACATATTTATTACTACAGAGTAAGTCAAACTAGGCGAACAGTGGAAAATGCCTTCGGAATATTAACTTCAGTGTTTCGTTTCTTAAAAAAACTTTACTTTTGTATCCCAGTACCGCCTTATTGATTGTGCTAACAGTGGAATATTTACATAACTTCTTACGACGAAACAGTACTGCGTCAAGGATTTACACACCACCTGGAAGTTACGACGTAGAGTTCAATGCCACACGTGAAGTGATCCCTGGGATTTGTAGAAGAGATACAGCGGACCAAACGTTATTTCTACCTCTTCGCAGGGTTCCTAGAAGGAGCACAGAAGCTGCTATTTAAATACGAGAAGAATTTGCATAGTATTTCCTGATAGCGGAAGGTTCTGTACCATGGAAACAAGACATGTATGGATAAACAATTCCAATATACCGATTGGTACAGATCTATAGTCTTTATCACTACACCTATAGTACATTTGCGGTACATTGAGCACTTTTAAATGAATATGTCTAAGTAATCACACCGTTAATGTGTGAAATTACACGCACACTTTCGTCTGTTTGCTCCCAGGTACGTGGTTATGAATTACGAACAGTAATTCCAAGCTGTGAAGTCTTCGTAATTATACATTGTTGCCATTAGTGGAACCGTAAGCGCTCAATGTACCGCGAATAGACTGTATGCATGTATACATACAAGCGCATGTAGTGTGTTAACTTATGTAACCTTAACCTAATGTTATGGGCACGTTTCAAATTGCATGGCTTTGTTCCGATTATTTTGTAATTCCAGTGTAGTTCAGACAGCAAGAAATCGTAATTGTCAACCCGATACAAGTTTTCGCTTCCTGAGGTAATTATAACATATAAAACCCCGCAATTGGATTAGATAATAAAACGAAGGAGCAACAAGTCGAACGGAAAATACAGTAAATTCACGCATGCAAATCGTGTCACTTATTTCTTGTACGCAGCAGCGACAAATTAAAAAAATAGCGTAAACATGCACACAAATAGGGCTACAATAACGTTTATTTCGGGCTGGGCTAAATATTTTGTTGTGATAGTGACAATGGATCCAATCACAGAAACTTAAGCACATTACACAAGTGTGTTTCATACACCTACAGCGAAGTTACAATATTGTGATAAATAATCAAACGTGACTGTCAAAGAAATTAATTTCGTTATAAAACAGTCCACGGTTAAAACACATACATTTCAGATGTTCAATGTTTAAATAACGTTACAGTATATCTATTCCTGCAGTGGGGAAAACAGATTTAACACAACATCGCAGCTTGCCTAGGAAGGTTTAAAAAATACAACGTGTACAAGCATGATGTGGTAATTTTAAGTAGACCATATTTCTCAGAAAAAAATAATTGTTTTTTTCTTTCGGCCAAGAGCAACACGCCAATCAGTGTCATGTCACCACACTACTGCCAACTTCAGATTTGTAACCATCCCACGATCACATCTCAATATATGATAGTAAGTATTCAAATATATTAAAAGTTTCAGTTGTAAATTACAAAATTAAAAATCATTGCTATAATAAGTATGAAATATGCTGAAATTGAAAACATGTATAATTTCCCGCTAGTATTAGA